TGACCAGCAGACAAAACACCTGCAATATCAGATGCTTTCTGGGAAGTCTTAAAATGGCATCAAGTTAATACAAGATCACTCACTGGTGAACTCACTCACTAAAAAAATGGCAATGGGATACGGAAACATTCCATCTCTAGTCCCACCCAGTCAACTAGCAACAAATATAAACTGTCCAATGGAAATTATTTGGTGGCTCTTAGAAATGGTGCTTGAAGATCTCATTTCTGTTCTAAATGCCACAACCAGCACACTACCTGTGTTAAAAGCCACAGCAGAGGCAGCCAGAATTCTATGGATGTGGAGACTGAACCATTTCTCACCTCCGGGAATGGCGCACTCAAAGCAAGTTTGAAACACAATGGCAGGGTGGTAAAAGGAAGCTCGCATTGCTGCCACCCATGCTGTGCATAAAGAGAAAAATTCATTTTCTTTTGTAGCATCTTCCATTAGTACAGATTCCTCCCCATGTGAAGGAATGTCATGTAGTTAATTCTAAATATTAAATACTTCTCACTGTCATAAGACAGTTTTGTGTGGTCACCTCAATACATACTTGCTGCAAAAATGAAAACTGCCATACGGATTACATGGCACGCTATTGTCTTAAATACGTCAACTCCCAATGTCAAGATCAAAGCTGCCAGCTTTCATATCTCGAGGTCAATAATTTGTTGACATAATGTAAATTAAATTCATATTGAAACAATAGTCGGTACCCAAAGGGGGAAACTTGAGTGTATTTTATCAGTAATCCATGCAAAGGATCCGTAGGGCTCCTTAGGGAAGTTGCTATTATATCAATAGGAGGTATTAAATAACTCTTCTACACTACATTATGTCAATAAATACTTTCTTTCACACTGCCACTGAGGGACTCAAGAGAACAATTATACATGGATAAAGTCTTATACTCTGTTTCAGTGACACATTATTTCCTTCTTTTATTTAAAGAAATAAAACTAATAAAAGTGTATCAAACACAGAAAACACTAATGAGATAATGAGTATACTCAGGAAATTCCACAAGGAAAACTATCAAAATATTGTCAAGTATCAGAGGGGTAGCCGTGTTAGTCTGAATCTGTAAAAAGCAACAGAGGGTCCTGTGGCACCTTTGAGACTAACAGAAGTATTGGGAGCATAAGCTTTCATGGGTAAGAACCTCACTTCTTGCATCGAAAAAAGTGAGGTCTTTGCCCACGAAAGCTTATGCTCCCAATACTTCTGTTAGTCTC